ATTTATCTTCAAGTACATAGACTTTGGGCACAGATTTGCAAGCGGGAGAAGGTAGGCCAACCTTCAGTTTTATCTGAATATTAAAAGAACTTTTACGAAACCCTAGCCAATCTTAACACCTCTGACCTTGGGCTAAGTATAATGTAAATTACTTAAGCATGAATAAAGATTCATTATTGATAGTTGAGAATATTCTTTGCAAAAAAGGTTAACTATTGGATTAAACGCTAAAAACTTCTGTACTTTCAACATTCTTCAGAACTCCTGGACTTAGTAAGCACAAGAAAAACACCCTTTCCTAATTAAAAAAAAAAAATTATAGCCAAACCAGCATTTTTCCTAAATGATTTCCCATTCAATAGAGTATAGAAATAATTATGGCATATTAAAGTAATTCAATAGGATCACAATCACAGTAATTAATCTACAAGTGTATTTTTATAGAAAAAATTAGTTCAACTACAAAAGATTCAGTGAATACAATACGCATTTATAAACAGTATCATTAGTATGTGGTGTTTTGGAAATGCATGGTGCAAACTGGAAAATTTCAGTATGCCTCCAGTATGGGTGTGTATGTGAGCATATATGGGTGTATATATGAGTATAAATACCGGAGACATACGCATAGACACACTTCCATGACACTGTTAATATCTACCACGCAGGTTCCTTGGTTTTGCAAACGAAGAATCTTTCCCATTAAATGTATAGTTGCCACCTACAATTCCAGGCAGGCAAACTTTTATCCTCTTGGAAAAGGTACGCTATTACCACCGTGTATCCGTTTGCCCTTTACTGTGTGCAAGTATCACAAAATGAATTTATAAAGTGAATATTGCTGATGCCAAAGAAAAGGCACCTTAAGCATTTCATATTACTTCACGCATCTGACTGTTGACCTGAAATTACCCATCTCTCTATTAAATTTTTCTTGATATCCTCCTAGATATGCATCGTAGACCGAATCAGATTTTTTTAGCATGCTTTAGCAGTTCTCCATTAGCAACAACAACTAATTCGTACGTTCTAAGGCCTGTAACAACCCTTTGTCTGTACCTGTCTTATTGCATCGGCATCCTGTTTCTGCCACGCCTGCAAATCAAGCACAGCCTGGGCAGTGCCGACTGCTGAAGCAAAGCTTACACTTGTACGCAGTTTGTTGCATCTCTCAAGAACGATCCCCACATTCAACATTTAGAATGAAAGAAGGAGCAAGGAGAAGAGTAGCAGTCTAGGACTGGGGACAGATGAGTGACAGCCTTCAGGTAACAGGAAGCTCCAGTCATCAGAAATAAGGGAATGCTGTCAGGGCACATTAGAAGTTAAAACAAAAACAAAAACCAACACAACCCCCAAAAACAGGGAAAAAACCCAAAGGCCAGGGACAAGAGAGAGATGCTCTGAAATGGAGCCAATGGCCAACAGCTCTCCATATCATGTCAGACAAGAAACACAAGGGGAAGAATGCATGGTGTAAAGCCGCCAACCACCAGCGGGGTTTGCCGTGTGCATTAAAAACGGCACCTGTGCATACCAGTATGAGGGAAGGAGAGGGGAAAGAAGAGACAGGAGGAAACAGATCTCGAAGAAAGAGAGGCAGGTAACTAAATGCCAAATTTGAATTTCAACGCTAGCGAGATCTAACCCATAGGATATATCAATTTGATATTTCTAGTCAGGAAAAAAAAAAGATTTTGTCACGTAAGGAGTTGCTACTAAGAAGATAAATACTGTGAGGTAGACCAACTCAATTTGTATCAGCTGACCTAACAGACAAGTACTGTCAGCCGATAAGTGAAAGTCAGGCTCTCTACAATTTACTTTTTTCTTTCTTTTCTGAATACAGAAGCACACACTAAAGTAATAAACCTAGGCCTGAAACTATGACTATCCCAGTTGTTAAAAAAAATAATAAAAAAAAAATCGATACACGAATGACTGACAAATGGCTGTTTCTACAACTACAACTGGGCTACATCATCATATCATAAAGGGAATTTAAAAAGGATGTGTAGGGAGCAAACGTCCTTGGCAGTACAAAAGTGGGTTAGGGTATTGTAACTCCAGGTCAAAGAATAACAGAAGTTGCAGACAGGTTAGCAGAAGGGCTGGAAATGCGTGGGGTGAAGTACAGCTCTGCCTGCGCGTATCAACGTGACCAAGCAGCACCTCTGACCAGCACTGACACACACAGACTACAAACACCCAATACCGATAAATCTGCACGATTCTCATCACCCTCGCTAGGAAGAAAATACCCAAGATAAGGATGATACTGTTTGCTTTTCCATAGCAATGAGTTGTAGCTATTTCATTAAACAGGTCAGACATCAAGTGTCTGCACAAGTACTCCATGACATGACCTGGAATCTGCATGCAGCAGAGGTAGCCGGGTGACAAGTTGTTACCACCACCTGGAGAAAGAAGCATTCTCATGAACTATAGAGAATGCACAACTTGGCATTTCCAGCCACTGCCACAGTATTTATTTTTTTTTAAATTCAGTTACAGATTATTTGCACCTTTGGCCACATTAACCACATGCCTTAGAATAAAGGATCACATTTTTTTGGCCACATGCCTTAGAATAAAGGATCACATTTTGCATGAAGTATTACTATCTCTCACTGGACAAATTCAGGGTATTTCTACTCAAAGCAGTTACTTTCCACTTTTCTGCCTCTGATTCAATCATTAGAGTCCCTTTAAAAGAGTATTTATTGATCACATTTCCTACAATATTTAATTCTCAGAATTACAATTAGGAAATGTAAATAACTGATTGTGCTGCCAGATGAATCCCGCATTATTCACCTGCTAGGTTGAGAAAAGCCACTTACAATTCATGGGCTATTTCCACAGGACACTGTGTGACACTGGCTATTAGATCAATTCCCACTCGTGTATTAAAAGTTCTCCGAAACTCCAATGCCTTTATCAAATGACCCTCCTCAGGCTTTACATTAATTAAGGTGTTTTCAGGACATTTTCCTTCTGGTTAAATGATACCAAATCCTCTCTTCTTGATGCAGTTTGTTGTTTTGGTTTAGTTTTTTTATAATAGCTAGTATTTCCCTTTTTCTTTTTACACATTTTCAACCGTTTTTTCATTTATAGTCCCCTGTTATTGAAGGCTACACGAACTCTGTATAGGCCTTTGCGCTGCTCTCCCTTTGCATACCTTTTCTTCCTTTCTTGCCTTCTATGTTAACATTTATACAAACACAAAATCTGCGTTTCTACAAAATCTGCAGAAGTATTGAAAAATTAAGGTTGGAAGGGACCTCAACAAGATCACCTAGTCCAATACCAGTATCTCAAAATACTAGTCACACTAAAAACACGCGAAACTTCCACAGTCAACTATGCATTAGATGACCAAATTCATACGCAGATACTTCCAGCTTCTGGTTGCCATAGTACTGAGAACACAGTATGAGAATTTTGCTTAGTCTGTCAATATCCTGTATTTCTACAGCGCCTTTCGGCAAAGGACAAAATTAGCAGTCCATCCCCTAGCCTGCATATTTACTGTCTAATACTGATAACTCTGTCACAAGCGCCATTAATCAGTCCAATGCCAACTGCTGGCATTTCATCTGCAAGGTCAATTTTTATACAGAGTTGAACAGTCTGAGTTTCAGATAACCAGGCTCAAGCATTTTTCACAATCGAAGATTATCGATGTATTTTCAAAAGGAATATACATCACCGAGCTAGAAAAATGTTAGCAGATCACCGAGACTTACACATCATCTATATCACTGTAGAGCGTTCATACTTGTTAGATACTACTGTGAAATAAATCTTGCATCTTGGATTTTTTTTTTGGTGTGCAATTGTCTCATTTGTTATTGTTTTTATAGTAAAGCCTATCCTGAAAACAAAATTCTGAAAACATGTAGAATTTATAAACTGTGTGCAGTCCCGCTTGCATAAAATCGAGGGATCTAAAAATCAGTGCGAGCAATGAATTCATACCTATTACTAGGTGAACTTAATAGCCAAGGTGTCAATATGGGTGGTCAAGCCCTCATTTAGATCATTAAAATGAGTTAACCAGACTAGGCGCTCAGCACCTGATCATTCCTATTAAGCTGCATATGTGAGCTGAGCTCTTGAACACCTAGATGTTAATCAGGACACTTAAGGGTCTAAAGGTAATTCAATAGTTTCACACATCTCCACCCCACCCCCGCAAGCCAAGGAAATTATTTGGATGCAAATTAGTAAGCCACATGTTTCCACAAGAGAGGATAAAAGCAGTGTAAGATGAAATACAAATCCACAAGACTCTTTGCAGTTGAAAATATAGTAGCACTGTAGCAATTGTCACCTCCTATTCAATGCCCACTACACTGTATGAAATCAAGTGCTTGCGTTGCAAGAGAATTTCAGCTTTTTGAATACAAGTTTCCACTTTTCTGCCAAATTGGCATTACTACCGGTAACACTCTTCTTTAGTTACAGGCAAAAGAGTAAGTATTTCACCCCACTACACAACATAACAATTACCTTAACTTTGTTGAGCAGATTCCAAAGGAAAGAATTTCCTTTTTGTCTTAGTATTTTAAACGAGGTCCTAACCATTTTAACAGCAATTCAGAGATCAATAGCAAAACACTGCCATCTTTGGTTCTTGAAACGATTTTTGAAACCACTTTCAACACAAATATACATGTACAAGTGCAAAAACTGCATGGTGTTACACTTAGCTCCAACTCTATTGCAGTTTGAAGTGTTTAAACATCAGGACACACACATCAATCCTTGGTTGCTCATAGCCTGTTTCTGTAAGCAGCCAAACCAAATCCACCGTTTCAGCAACTGCTGCTATTTGTTCATAGTATTCTTCCTAAAGCTGCTAAAATCTACGCTTCCATCCACCTATGCTCCAATAGGCTAGTACAGAAAAAACTGTAGCCACAAATAAATGAGCCATCACTGCATAGATAGAAGAATTTCCCATTACATAGAAAACAAGGAAACTGGCAATTGCGTTATATAACCTACTCGGTTCATTTATTTAGATAAATGTAACTGCAATGTGATACAACTTTTTAATTATAGAAGCGTAATAAAAATAAAGCCTTTGTTGCTGCAATCCTGCAGTTGGAATTCCAAACTTATTCCCACTGGGATTTTCCAGCTACTGTTGAGGTGCACTGGCACATGATTTAGCTGCTTCTTTCCTAAAAAAAATTGCACAAGGATTTTGCCAGTTGGAGAACAAAACAATATTGAGAGATCATATTTATTATTCCTCACAGCAAGACTTTAATCTGATTTTTCTCATCTAGCAGTCTCACGTAACCCAAACCCATCTTTCTTGCCTTCCCCACATCACGTGAAACACAGCCGAATCTGATTTTGTCATCAGTCTCCATATCCCAGCGCAAAAGCATCCAAACAGTACTCTCTCAGTTCTAGGTAAACTTTTCATATTCTTGTGTGTGCGTATACATACACAAATCCAAGAGTTTACCATTTTTGGATAGTTAGAAACAATTATCAACAGTTAAATCTAAAATTTAAATTTAACATTTCCCAAAGTTATATGCACAGAATTTTCACTGAAGGCTGTAGGTCTGCTGGGTGTCCTTCACTGAAAGGGTTATAAAGAGGGACCGTGGATCCTTTCTGTTTTTGCGGACTGTTACCTTTCCTCTCAGGGCCTCTCCTGCAAAAGTAAAAAGGAAATTACTATGCTTACATTACTGAATCATGCACAGTAACAGCAAAGATGCATTTCATACCCTTATGTTGCACGAGAAGCTGTTCCCAATTAATCAGAATTAAACAAGTCTACAAAGGTTTCCTTTACGTTTTCGAAGCTCTAAGCAATGGTCTTGACAACAAATGTAAGTCAAACTAACTGCAGTTAAACCTGGCGAGGTGCTGAGTTACGTCTGATGCTTTACTTTTCAGATGACCCACCCAAAGAGCTGATATGCCAGTTATTTTACTTGTGATTGGGGAAAAACACTGTATTCCTTGGATACATTAACTTCTCTTTGTATCTGGTTCTCCTAGTTTCAGCTTGGATAGAGTTAATTTCCTTCCTAGTAGCTAGCACAGTGCTGTGTTTTGGATTTAGGATGAGAACAATGTTGATAACACACCGATGTTTCAGTTGTTGCTGAGCAGTGCTTACACTAAGTCAGGCTTGGATAGTTAATTTCCTTCCTAGTAGCTGGCACAGTGCTGTGTTTTGGATTTAGGATGAGAACAATATTGATAAC